AGTCTTGCTGTTGCCCAGGCTGGAGTGGTGCAGTGCTATGATTTGCAGCCTCAACCTCCCGGGCTCAAGTGATGTTCCTGCCTCAACTTCTCAAGTAGCTGGGACCACAGGCCATGGCTGACTAATTTTGTGGAGACAGGGTCTTTTTATGTCGCCCAGGCTGGTCTTGAACTCCTGGGATCAAGTAATCCTTCCGCCTCGACCTCTGCCAAGTGCTGGGGTTACAAGTGTGAGCCACCATGTTTGGCCTCAAAGGACTTTTAACAATTTTTACTGCTACCACTACTTGATTACCTACTGTGTGACAGGCACTGTGCTTTCAAACACTAACTAATATAATCTTCCTAACAGACTTTTGGAATAGATATTATGTCTATAGTTTTTAAAAAGCCAATAAATAGGAATGTAATAGAAATCTGAGATCTACTACTAATTACCACCAAATATCAAACAAATGCTATCAACAGTGATACTCTTCAACAAAATTTGAGTTCTTTTTTCTTCAGTGAGCACCTACCCACCTGCCCAATGAATAGCTTTGTTTGAATACCTTGTACTTTTGTCTCAGCTCTTCTGTGTCTTCTTTTTCCACTTCTAGGACACGGCGCCGTTCGGTAGCATCTTCAGCATAATCAAGCTTGACAAAAATAGATGATTAGACTTAATTCCTAACGTACCCCCAAGATTAGCTATGAAAAAAGTTATTTATATAACTACAGTATTATCTGAAAACAAAAAAACTTTGTATTTTGCTCAGCTTGCTTTATTGTCACCCCACAGAGAAAATCACATGCAAAATAGTTTGTTAATCCTTAAATGCTGGCAGTTTCTAAAAGGCACATTTGTTGAAAATAGACTTTACTTCAATGTTAATTTTTTTTCTTTTTTTCTGAGATAGGGTTTCACTCTTGTTGCCCAGGCTGGAGTGCAATGGTGTGATCTCGGCTCACTGCAATCTCCGCCTCCCAAGTTCAAGCAATTCTCCTGCCTCAGCCTCCCAAGTAGCTGAGATTACAGTGCCCGCCGCCAGCCCCAGCTAATTTTTTTTGTATTTTTAGTACAGATGGGGTTTCACCATGTTGGCCAGGCTGGTCTCAAACTCCTGACTTCAGTGATCCACCCACCTCAGCCTCCTAAAGTGCTGATATTACGGGCATGAGCCACTGTGCCCAACCTCAATGTTAATTTTCAAATAATTAGGAGTCAATGAAGAAAATATTTGCAGCAAGGCAAAGCAGGTATTACAGATGGCAGCTGTACCCAATTCTACAAAGGCAAAGCTTTTATCACAGCAACATTTTAAGAGCTGAGCAACACTGCCCACTGAAACAAGCACAAAGGTCTGGATCTAAGTTGAAAATTGCCTTGCTGTATAACCCTGAGCAAACCACTTAACTTCTTTATGTGCCAGTTAAAACAGGGGCATTGTTTATATTCTATTAGTCTCAAAAGTAGCACTAAATGAAAATGTAAAATATATTTTTTAGCTGTCCAAAGAAAAATATTAAAACTACATTTTATCAGATAAATGTATTCTTGCACGGACATCTGAATTTGGGATTGGTATCATTTAAAAATATCCTATAAAAATCAGAAGTTAATGAGATCAATTTACCTCCATTTCCATGCGACCCATGCCCATGACATCATACTTGACAACGATTGGAATGGGATCTGTTCTCCCTGTAATAGGAACACATAATCAAGGTAAGGTGCAAAGCCAAGCCAACAGCTCATTTTACACATTGGGTTTGGGTGGTTAGAGATCTTGCCTTGGAGTGCAGAGACCAGAAAGCTACAGTGAACCAAACACAAGCCATTCTCACAGCTTACACTCAAGACCTTCCTTTCCTAGTTGAAACCCAACTAACCACCTTGGCTGACCTTCCAGTTGGGATTAATTCCAAATTACTATGGCAAAACTTGATTAATAAGTAATGCAAAGCACTTTTAAGCAATGGCATCAGGAGGTTTAAATTTTAAAGCTTTAAAAATGTTTTTTAAGATCCCCAAATAACTTCCCATCAAAAATCACTTCACTCTGTCCACTGATAATCCTCCTACACAACTTTTTTAAACTGGTTAAAAAAAAAAAATCTCAACTGGCATGGTTAAACAGAAGAAGCACATTTTCAAACATGATGTAGTAAAACTTTATAATGACAAATCAGGATGTTAAACTTTGTTTTCAAAAGATGCTTTACAATTTTTTTTTTTGATGATCCTCATAGACAAGGAGATGCTTTACAATTTAATGGTGCTGTGAAAAATTTAAATAAGAAGCAACAATTAGTTGCCCTTAGAGACAAAGAATAGTTTTCCTTTTAATCTGGTGCTCTAAAGTCCCATTTCCTAGGGTGGATTTAACACTGCAGGGTTAACTGGTAAGCTGTGAAAAGGACTAGTTGCGAAGAAAATTGACTTTAAACTAATTGATCTATGCTGGAGATTTTTTTTTAATAAATATATATTTAATCCACTCATAACCAGCCAAACAAAGCAAAATGGGGCAGACAAGCACTTTACTACCACAGCTGTTTTACATCACAACTTGCGCTTTTTATTGTGATGTAAGCCCACTGAAAAGAGGACTTACCTTATCCGTTGTACACCTTTAGTGAAAAAACACAATGTTTACTTCCCTCATCATTTCACTCAGGCTGGTGTAAACAATTGGTTTTTTTGGTTGTATTGTTGTTGTTGTTATACACACATATATATATTATACCTTTGGGCTAAAAATGGAGTTTTCTTAGGCTAAATCTGAGACATCACCCCCCCAACCCCAAAAAAACTTAAAAAAAAAAATAAAGGCCATGACCATGACTGGTTTTGGTCCTGCAAAATAAAGAAGAAACCATGTTCAAAATGATCACAACCACTTGTATTCAGTGGCTCTGTATCTGTGGAATTAGTTTTTGCCTTTAAGATGTAATGAAAAATTCATAAGTTTACTTATGTATCCTATTGTTGTTTTTAAACAATAAATAGGAAAAATTAGAATTATCACAATACAAAACACAACTGTTAAAGAACATCTCATGTCAGAAAAAAAAAAGGAAAACTTCTAGAATACAGCCTTCTTTTAGATAAAAAGACTGCCAGTAAAGCAAAATGAAAATGCATTACTACCTTATGCCCAATGGTATAATAAATAAGCAGTGACTGCAATCTTTAGCAAAAGGACCAAATTAAAGACAGGTTATAAAAATGACTTCCTAGGTGCAATATCACTTTCATAACGTCTCAATCAGGGATTTACTGGTAAAAACAAATGGTCCAATGAAAGAATTAAAAAGAAATGTCAAAGGAATTTATTTTGGTATATTTTTTGATCTTTCAGAATTTGTTTTGCAAGAATCAAGAAGTTTTGGTACAAATTCATTACCTCTGTAAACCCCTGTTTATAAACTCTGCATTAGTACTTTTGCCTTCTAAGGCAGTCAAAGTTTGTTTTAATTTATTTATAAATTGCAGTAGCAAGTGCTAGTGCCCATTACATTGTGGGGAAATCAAGTTTTTGACAGTATTAGAATTTAATGTTTTAACTGATTTTGTTGGCAGTTCTAACACAAACAGATACATCCCTTCTTAACATTACCCTTTAATGAACAAGGATCAGACAAGTTGCATAAGGAAAGGAAAGGAAAATGAAAAAGACCAAGCAGAAGGATGAAGGCTACAACAGAGAAAGTAAGCCTAACATATTGGTGCACTGATGACAAAAGGAGTAATTCAGTCTGAAAATAAAAAATTACCACTGCTAAGTTTACCATCACCACAACAAGTCCAGGATCATAATGCTGTAAAAAAGAAACACCATTTGTTAGGCAGAAACCATTAGGGTAGGAAACAGGCCTTCTAGCAGGCAGACAGGATGGGGTAAAGTTAACAGTTGGGCTTTGTCCCTCCCCCAATCTCAGCTGGGGACAGAAGAAGGACATTTTGTGCTACAGCAGCTGTTTTCATACTGGTCAGACTAAGGTGTGAGATTTTTGTACTGCTACTTGAGAACATGAACAACATCCTCTTGAATAAGGCAGGAGGGTAGGATGTCAGTTTAAAGCGAGAGAACTAGCTCTAGCTTCCAAACTTTCATTTAACTATTCATTCTGGTAAATCAGTATTCAGGGCCCAAGGTGGGACTTTTAAAAGAAATGACATCTGGCCGGGCGCGGTGGCTCAAGCCTGTAATCCCAGCACTTTGGGAGGCTGAGGCGGGTGGATCACGAGGTCAAGAGATCGAGACCATCCTGGTCAACATGGTGAAACCCCGTCTCTACTAAAAATACAAAAAATTAGCTGGGCATGGTGGCACGTGCCTGTAATCCCAGCTACTCAGGAGGCTGAGGCAGGAGAATTGCCTGAACCCAGGAGACGGAGGTTGCGGTGAGCCGAGATTGCGCCATTGCACTCCAGCCTGGGTAACAAGAGCGAGACTCCGTCTCAAAAAAAAAAAAAAAAAAAAAAAAAAAAAAAAAAAAAAAAAAAAAAAAACCACACAAAAAAAAAAAAAAAAAAAAAAAAATGACATCTAAGACTCAATCAGATCAACTAACTGGACAGTAATAAAGTCATTTACTTCACCAAAATAATTCTAGGAGCTTGGAGTATGGGTGAGATGTCCTCAAGACTTCTCTAGAAATAGATATATACATATATCTAACAATTAAGAGATCTAGAAAATAATCTTAGATCCTCAGTGCTTGAAGAGCTTTGTGCATTTCAGTTCTGTTATGAATACAACTCTTTAAGTGGCTCTCCTTAGAACTTTCCTTCCTGTTAACTAAGACTGTCCAAGACGCCCAATATCTTTCTTTCAGCACAGAACAAAACCAATCTTTCAAGGAGAGCTCCAGAGAAACTGACATCAAAAGAGCTGTCACACTGAAAATTACTCCACTCAGAGTTAACTCATAGAAAATAAATAGCATGACTTTCAAAGCAATCTTGAAGGTGACATTATTGCCTGGGCCAAGTAGCAATTTCTTAACCTTATTAAAGAGGCTACAGACCAAGGAAAAATCCCAGTGGGAAAAGACACCAAAAACTACATATAAGAAGAGGTTGCAGCATTAAAAAACAAAAACAAAAACCCCTCAATTTATTCAGTTGCTATCAATGATAAATCTGAATGAACATTACTTAGAATACCTGAATACCAATTTGTAGTGATGACTTCAAAAGGTAGGTAGCAATAGAGTGTCTGCTAATATGCATTCTATAGAAAACTCAACTTTTTTTGAGATGGAGTTTCACTGTTGTTGCCCAGGCTAGAGTGCAATGGTGGGATCTCAGCTCACCGCAAACACTGCCTCCCAGGTTCAAGCGATTCTCTTGCCTCAGCCTCCTGAGTAGCTGGGATTACAGGCATGCACCACCATGCCCCGCTAATTTTGTATTTTTGTAGAGACAGGGTTTCTCCACGTTGGTCAGGCTGGTCTCGAACTCCTGACCTCAGGTGATCCACCCTCCTCAGTCTCCCAAAGTGCTGGGATTACAGACGTGAGCCACCGTGCCTGGCCTCAACTTGTTTTAAAAATAAAAGCCAGGTTCTCTACTTCTTGGTTTCTCTTAAAATAGGGCAAATATTATTTAAAATATATTAAATTAGTGAGAACATTTTTTGTTGCTTGTTTCACTCCAAAGGAGGCAACTTCAACCAGAACACTAAATAATCTCCTTAAAAGAAATTGTTGCTTGGCATTGTGGTTCACAGCTGCAATCCCAGCACTTTAGGAGGCTGAGATGGGCAGATCACGAGGTCAAGAGATGGAGACCATCCTGGCCAACATGGTGAAACCCTGTCTCTACTAAAAATACAAAAATTAGCTGGG